GTGCGGGCGCTCTCCACCCAGCAAGCCGAGACCAAAGACGGCCCTCCCCCTGCCCACGGGCCCGATCACCCAGATCCTCCCGCAGACTGGCCACTCATCAAATCTGCCTGCACGTCCACCCCTCTCCATGGACCCAGGCGCCTCAGCCCCGAACCTATATACTCGCTCCTCCACTCCACCCCGTCATCCTGACATTGCCCTCCTTCACTCTCAATGCCGAACCCTGGAGAGGCTGTCCTGCCCTGACCCCCCGCTCACATCGCCACCCGCCCCCCCTCCGACAATCCCCCGCTGACGCCGAAGAACTTTCGGAAGCACCGCCGTGGCAAGTGAAAGCACACCCACCCGCCGCCCCAGTCACCTTCACGGCGTCAGGGTCGAGCCTCATGGAGAAGCTGAACGTCGACGGCAACCTCGCGATCAAGCCGCCCAGCAACTTGGCCAAGGCCGCGCGCGCAGGCGCCGAGCTCACCTCGCCCATTCTGGACGTGCCGCCGAAAGCAGAGCGGTGGGCGAGGACCATCAACCAGCGAAGGGAGACGGTCGGGAAGGTCAACGCTCGGGCGGCGTCCTCTGCACCGTCACTATCTCCAAGAGGTAGACTGCGACGAAGCGGGACCGCTCCCAAGTTGAGCTTCGCGCAGGTCTCGGCCCACCGATTGGATCTCTTGTGAAACCACTGGCTGCCATTGTTGAGCGGCTTTGGCAGCCCGGGCTTCTGGCAAGCGCCCTGGATGTCCACCCACGCGTACCCGCCGTCATTCATCAGCTCAAAGACGGCGACCTGAACTTTGATAGGAACAGATCCTGGCTGTCCCTGTACCAACTCCAACTGGTGCAACTGGTGGGCGCCCTTCAGCCTGGCGTAGTCCACGCGTTCGCCTGAGGGCAGCATCATCTCGTCGACAGTAGTGCCCCCTGGCTGCGAATAGAATGCCGCAGTAAAGAAGTTCTGGGCGAACGTCACAGGGCCCGTCGAGTCAAGATCGGACGGAGCAACCAGCGCCTTCCCCCCGTGCTCGCCTTCCCCGACGTCGATGCACCACTCCTGTGCGAAGGTAAGGCGGGACATGGCAACACCACTGGGTCGGCGGGGAAATGACGACGGTGGGCCAACGGGCGGGGCGCAATCTATTACGACGACGGTGGAGGGCGATGGGGGCGGGGAGCGTGGAAACGGCCGAGCGTTCCAAGAATGCAAGTGGCGAGGAGAGAAGTGAACAGGGTGGGGTGAGGGCACGGGGGCGCCAATCCACCTCCTGCCCATGCAGCCTGGGGCGGTGGCGCTGAATAGCCGACAGGCCACCAGAATGCAGTGCGTACCATGGTACCATGATGCGCCCAATCGCCCTGCCACGCGCGCTCCCCCCCCCCCCCCCTCTCGACCTGCAGCGCGCCTGAAATTCAACCCGTGCTTCTGAAATCCGTGTGGTGCAACTCCTTCGGTGCTGACGTCCTCCCATCCCCCAACAGCACCACCCTCTCCCCCTGTCTCGTCGTAGTCGAAACATCCAAGGTGCCCCTTTCCACCTCCCCCCGAACCTCCACCACCGCCTTTAGCTGCAAAAACGCAGTCCTCGGACGCGTCCAATTGCACTGCAGCGACCCCGTCCAGCTGCAGGAGCCACTGGCGCATCTGGCCGAGGACAACCTCATCGCGGACGAGCTTGAAGTGGCCCTCCCCAGCTCTCAACTGGAGGGCCATCCGCCCCCGCCTGAGCCCAAAATGGGCTACCGAGATCAGCGTGTGAGCGGTTGCCGAAACCCGCTTCCGATAATCCGATAGCCTCGCCGATCGGGGGCCAGTGTAACGGGCCGAATGCGAGACGAGAAACAGGGGAACGCAGCGAAATGTAACCTGAAATCCACGGGGCGACATGGCCAGGTAAGCTCCGCCGATCTGGATAACGGGGGGCCCGCCAATCTATATCACGCGCAGGTCAATGCAACTCACCTTCAGGAGCTGGTGTGTGCTGGGGGGCGCACCACGCGCTAAGCGGGGCGAAAGGCCACGCGCTGGGTGCAACAAGTCTGGTGTCACGAGACTCGACTATGCCCAAACGCCCCT